ATCAAAACAAATGAGAATTAAGAAAATATCCTTGGGATTTGTCAACATGGTAGTCATTGGTAATCTTTATGAGTTATTTCAGTAAAATGATACCAAAAGCCAGACTGGAGTGGCCTGAGAATGAGTGGGAAGAAAGGAAATGGAAACAGAGAGGTGGACAAATCTTTTACGAGATTTAGCTGTAAAGGGGAGGGGGAGGGGTAGCTAGAGGGAGATGTGGGGTATGGGAGGATTTAATTTTTAAGGTAGGAAAGTCTTGATCATGTTTAAGTGCCAGTGGGAAAAATCTAGTTGAGAAGGAGAACTTGAATATACAAGAAATGATGGATAATATGTACTGCTTTAAAAGCTGAGAGCAAACATGGTTGAAATCATAGGTAGAATATTGGCCTTAGATAGGAGCAGGGACTCCTGTAATGTAACTAGAGAGTAAAGGAGAGGATGGGGTACAAGCAGGGAGGCTTGTAGCTTTGGTAGCAGGAAGATGAGGCTTCAATTTTCTCTCTGAGGTCATGCCATCTGCCGAAAATAAAGAGGGAAGTAGGGGAGAGGAGGCTGGATGGAGACAAGCAGAGCAGAGATGGTTTGAAATATTTGTTGTGGCAAGTGGAAGAGAGATTTGACCAAAGAAAGGAAATAGAAGCGACTAGGCAGTACTGAGAGACCATGGAGGTTGGTGACCATGGATAATAGTAATGCTGATGTGTTCATTTGTGTGACTTTCTCCAGGAGCACCAGGCTTCTTGGTGTGTGCACAGAGAGTGGATAGTAAGGGTCACCCAGAGTTAGGATTTTTGTGTCAAAATTTACCCATGAATGAGGAAGAATGATTAGAGTGAGGAAAGATGGCACACTTGGAGGTCAGGACCCTGAGGGAGAAGGGTTTGTTTGTTTGTTTAATAGGAGTGTTGGGGAGAAATTATCTTGAAATAGCATTGCAAGTCAACACCACTTCCCAAACCTGAGGCTGTGTGATATGAGAAAGTAAAATCCTAGCGCTTGAGAGGGCTCTGGGGACATTGCAGGGGAAAGTCTGGTTTCTTTTAAAAGCTATTGAGAGTTTTGTTGATTGGGGAAGCGTTTTCAGAGTGCAAAATGCAAAGATTTCAGAAATGGATGAAGGAGTTGAGGCTAATATATGAAGGACAAGAAAATATAGAACTTTATGTGAATGATGACGATGCAGTAGACCAGGGGTAGGCAAACTTTTTCTGTAAAAGGCCAGACAGTAAATATTTTTGGTTTTATGGATCATAAGGTCTCTGTTGCAACTACCCAACTCTGTTGCTGTAACGTGACAGCAGCCATAGAAAATACGTAAATGAACAGTGTGGCTGTTTTCCAAGAAAACTTCATTTATGGGCGCTGGAAATTGAATTTCATATACTGTGAGCATATAACAAAATGTTATGAATCTCCTTTTGAGTATTCTTTTAACAATTAAAAATGTACAAGCCATTCTTAGCCTGTCCACCATACAGAAACAGGCTGTGGCCAGAATTGGCCCATGGTGTATAATTTGCTGACCCGTGCCATAGAGGATCTTTTGAAGAGAGTGTGTGGGCAGGTGTAAATCAGGGTGTACACTTCTGGACATTGACTCATAAAAACATGTTCAAAGGTGTCAAAGTTCTCTGTCTTTGAGGAGGATGGACATTGTTGGGTCTGATGGCTTGTTAACTGGTTCACTTGGCCTGGGGTGATGTTGAGCTAAGCATACTCTCTAACCTGGACTGGGGTAGTGGCAAACCAGACCCAGAGGTTGTAGAGTATGTGACCATACCACCTCCATGGCGGCCTTTCCGGGAGCTGCAAACTCTGTCCCAGGTGTGCCTGGGGGTGGAGCTGACTCCCAGAACTGTAAACAAATGGCTTAAACTAAAAAGAGTTTGTGGAAAATCTCTTCACATGTCAAGAAGAGTCTGGTGTTACAGCATGATAGTTTTAAATTTCAGTATCAGAAGGGTTCTTTACAACCTAAGCTGTAAGAAATTAACAAAACGTGAATTTGTAAAAGTGATGTTTTAACAAACTTAACGGGTACAGATTAGTGGAAATGGTATTTTAATTAACCTTAGTATTACAGCAAGATGGCACCATTAAATATTTTTCAATTGTGAATTATAAGAATGGCCTTACAAATAGAGGCTTCATTTCAGGGCATTTGACAGAAATTTATATAGATAAAAATTCATACTACTGATAATTTATTCTGAGAAAATGATTACTGAAGGCTGGCATTGCTTAAACACTGCAAGGATCTTTCATCCTGAACATAGGAGAGAATGATAGTGTTGCTGATGCCTTATTAATTTCTAGTATCTGATTTTCTAATGCCAGTTTTTAAACTCATTTAACTCCTAAAACTTGGCTTGCACAAACATTTTAGCATAGTGAAAAGTGGAATCTTTGAGTTAGAAAGCCACGTGATTTTACTTGATTGATTTTTTTAAGACTCAAAGGCAGCAATATTTGAAATAATTTTAAAAATCTTTGAAATTTTAGTGAAGTAAATGGGACTGTATTTAAATAGCTCATATTTTACTTAGTTTATTTGGTAAATTATAACTTTGGAAGATATTTAGATATTTGAACCTTTACCAGTAACTAGGGAATATAATTTGTGCCAAAGGACTTCATTGAACTTTTAACTAATAAATTTGTAACATTAAGAAATTGAGAACTGAACATAAAGAATGGAAAGATAAAGAATGTGGGGAACCTAAGGAAGAGTCAGTGGGACCAGCTGTAGATCTTAATAGTATTCAGACATGATTGGCTAAGGAGGAATGTGGACTGAATTATCTTGCTTGAGTATTTCTGTCAGCGATGGTAGTAGTGGTGGTGGTGATAAAAGGATGATTTTGGGGCACAAAGTCACATGGAAGAAAGTGACCAATAGGAGAATTTTGCTAGTCAGAGACCAACTGTATTAATTACTTAAAGTATTAAAAAAAAAAAAACGAGGGTGGATCCCATGCCAAGGTCAGTCAATATGTTCCACTCTCCTTTCTGTCTCAAGTCACAGACAAAACTCCAGTTTCTTCTTCTGATACCTTCTCTCTTATATTTTGAATATTGTTCTCCAGGCCTCTTTAGTAAGGTTTTGGTCCACAGGAGGGGATCTTAGGTGAACTTGTGTGTGCTAGTCACTAAAGACATTGACCAGAGAGAGTGTGAGGGAAGGCAGGAGGGGTAAAGGGGTAACATTTGGAGAGTCACCAGGTTATTACCTTATTTGATTGGGTAGGCAAGGGCCAGTGCCTGCCATGGGCAAGGGGACTAAGGGGGGCAGGGCCAGTGATATTAGAGGGGCTGTTCCAAGTTGGGGAGCATCATGTCTGACTTGTGAGGACACAGGGGATTGGTTGGGATTGAACTCCTGCGTTGACACACCCCACGTAGGCAGATTGGAGGTCAGTGGATTTTCTCCACTGGCCAGTGTTTACAGTTGCTTCTGAAGTACACTGCAAGTAGGTTATTTAGCTAGGTAAAACATTGATATTGTGACTATTTCCTTTATGAATTAGAGGGTTCAAGATTATTCTTGTAACTTCATATCTTAATCAAGATATGCCTTCTTGATTCTGAGAAAAACAGCAGCAGTACATAGTTTCTGAAGAATTGTCCAAAGCTCTGGATTGCAGCTGGTGTGCAAGAAACACATAATCCTGTGAATGCCCACAGGAGTATGTGGCACGTGGGAACACTACAGGTCATGTATAGGAGCAGAATAAAGGCTGAAGACCTCTGCCAACATCCAGTAAAGGCCAATTTGTCAAATTAAATTCGTCCAGTTAAATATTTGCCTTTTCAATGCAGCACATCACTTGATACAGCAACTGGATAAACCAAATCAGTCATGATGTTTGAAGTTGTTCTCCAGACTAAAAGGAAAGCGCAGCTTTGCCTCTCTCTCTCTATATTAAGCTGTTTAAACTTGTCCATTATCACGAAGACAATGAGTTGACTGGGCTGGGACTAGAATTATGCGCTCCAGTTTTAAAGTTGGGATAAAAATGAGCAGAAATGGAGATGATGTGGTGTCAGCCATGGAAAAATGTTCTTTTTACTGTGTAATCATATAATGAACATTGTCCTTCAGTAGTTCTTGGTTATGCAAAGGCAATAATAGTATATTATGGCTATGAATAGTAAAAATGAAAGACAGAGTACTTTCAGTTTGGATTTGGAATGTATTATGTATTTTTAAATGAATATGGTGAGTTTCAGAGTCACCTTAGAAAACCTAAAAAAACCTGCCTCAGTTTACCTGATACTCCCAACCCCTCTGTGACTTAATTTTCCTCAGCTTGTGAGAAGAACTTTCACTCCACTGTTGCATGTCTGAATCTTCCCTGAGGTCGGCCAGGTGATTGTTACAGCTTCATGAGAGCTACATCAAGAACAGGTCAAGACAGTAAAATATTAAGAAAAGAGCTTTAGCAGATTAGAAACCATTAAAAATGAAGTTCCTGAAATTCAGGCTCATGGAAAACCTTGAAATGTGGTTTATTAATTCCATTTTTTAGTACCCAAACAATGTAAGTTATCAAGGTGAATTGTGATTGGACTTTATGTATAATTTATTTTAGGACACTTGGAAAGAATTGAAAAGCTAAAGAAAGTACTTAAAACCTAATTTAAAAAGTCATGTCCTCCCATTGTAAAATAAATGGAAAATATAGAAAATAACAAGAATAATATAAAAATCTCCCAGAGTTCTACCATTTATTAAATAGGGTGTAACCACTTTTTCATAGTTGTTGCATCTCCTTTTTCTTTTTAAATTAATATTTGTGAATGTATTTTTAAAATACAATTGGAATCTAATTTTAACTTCCTTTTTAAATTTCATATATTAGAAACACTTTATAAATCATTAAATTTTATTTTACAATATAATTTTTAATAACCATGTAGTATAGAAAAGACTTTGTGTATTCAATTTAGCCAGAGCTTACTGTAATAAATTATTTATAGTTTTTTTTTCTGTGTAGATTTTAGATACTTGCACAAGGAGAATGAATCTAAATTCACCAGCCAGATATCTTTATGATTTGTATGGCAGAAAAATTAAAGATATTTCAGAAGGTAAGTGGCAAAGATTTTATAAACTGTATGATAATATTTTGAAAGGTATTTACATAATTTTGTTTTTACTTTATACATTTAAAAGGAAAACAGATATAATAGAACAGTTTATAACACAGACAAATATGTCATTCTTATACAAAGGGGAATCATGAAAGGGTGTTAAGGTTTTAGGAATCTGTTATTTCAGCATATCTTAGTCCATTTGGGCTACTATAACAAGAATACTATAGACTGGATGGCTTAAGCAACAAACATTTATTTCTCACAGTTATGCAGGCTGGGACATCCAAGATCAAGGTGTGAGTAGATTCAGTGTCTGGTGAGGGCCCTGTTCCTATTTTGTAGATGGCTGGCTGCTCACGTGGTGGAAAGGCAAGGTGCTCTCTGGGGTCTCTTTTATAAGGACACTAATTCTTCATGAAGGATCCACCCTCACGACCTCCAAAGGCCATCACATGGGGATTAGGTTTCAACACACGAATTTTGGGGGGACACAAACATTCAGTCTATGGCACAGCACAAGCTTAGATTTTTAAAAAATTGATGGAAATTTTAACCTTAGTAAGCCATAACTTAATAAAAAAAAGTAATTGATAAATTTTCATAATTTAACAGACAATTTTTATGGTATACAGCTTTCAAAAGAGAAAAATGAGAAATTATTTTACTGTATGCTTAGATAGAGATTTTTTAAGTGTTTTGGTTAACTTTTAGAGGTTTTACACAAGTTATGAAATGTGCTTTAATACAATTTTATTGTATGTCTCTCAAAATATGAGATATCCATCTATATTTCTAAAGGCACTGATTTGCTAGTTTTTGAAAGCAAAAATGCCATGAATTCCACATTTGTGCTACTACTAAATTACTATTGGTAGTAATTACTACTATTACTTTACTTTTTACTTTTTTTAATATACATTTTATTACTTTATTAGTAATTACTATTTTTTTAATAGTGCTCCTATTAGCACTAGTAAATGTGCTACTATTATGGTCCTATCACTTCGTCAAAACTTTCACCCCATATGTGTGAAGGGGGCCAAAATCTTAAATGGCACCCTTTAACTGCAAGGGTACATCCAGACAACTGTAAGTGCTTTTAGGACATGGCTACATGGATACTCCCATTTGTTTCTAATATCCTCGCTTTTGCTATATAAAAGCAAAATATTTCCTTGATTTTTCATCCTTAATTAATACTATTGAGTGATTACTGTATTTTGATATTTATTATTTATTAATTTTTTTTTGGTTAAGGATTATATATGTGTGTGTGTGTTTAGAAAGTAAGTCTATTTTTCTTGGTCATTTTTAGTGTTTGTATTAGATATAGTAATTAGTTTTCATTTTAGTAGGGACTTTTATCTGAAGATTTCAGAGCGTGTGTAGACACTTTTCCATCATCTAGAAGCACTAGATAGTTGTTTACCTGTAAGACGTATGTAACGCGGGATCCTTCCTTATGGTCTTTTTTTAGGGGGTGGGGAAAGTGTCATCCTTAAAGTTGATTTCTTCTTTTTTGCATTTTTGTTCCCTTCTTCATCATGCTGGCTAACGTTTTCCTTATGATTAACAATATTTTAAAATCACTCTAAACTTGCATTGATAAAATAAATAAATAACACGTTTTCTTAAGACCCTCTCTAGCTTCGGATTATTTCCAGCTCACCTGGAGTTAAAAAATTAGATTTGAGTAAACTGCTAGAATTGAAACTATAAGGAAGTCTGGTTAAGATGAGAGATTTATATTTAGAAAGTTGATTTTTCCTCTCCCAAATATGGTGTCCACACGGAAAGCTCTGACTCTGATGCAATTCTTCATGGATGCCAGGGGCATGTGCTCGTGCCTCGTGCTTCACGTGTCTCAGACTGTGCTAGGATCACACTTGAATGCATGCCTTGCCCTGTGTTTTTGCATATTATAAAAGCTCATGCCAGCTGAAATTAGCCTATGCAACTACTAACATGTGGAAGCATAACAAGTTCACTGGACTTAAATACTTAAAGAAGCTAATCCTGTTGGAGGAACTTCCACTCTGTAGCACCCTAGTCACTTAACATTAGGTTTTTGCATTTCTTTTTTCTTTGTTTGTTAGTGTGATTTTGTGCATCAAATGATTGAGGTCCCTAAACTTTTATGTTTGACTGTCTTCTGAACTTCAACTTGGGGAAGGTCAAGTGTTATGTGAAAGTTATCTTTTAATTTAAATAAATAAATGCTTATACTCATTTGATGTATGATTTTTTTTGCTTGCTTGCTCTGTATCAGATCAGAAAAATAATTTAATAATGTCTAAAGTTAAGATCATAGCAATTACTTTTTTTTTTATAAGCACAGATTCAAAGTGTAATTGTACCAAAGACTAAAAGTAACAGAAACACAAAATAAAAAGTTTTCTCCTATCTCTTGCTTCTTGTTTGGAATTAGATATACTTTCAAGTTTTCCTCCTATGCTGTGAGAAATAAGCACATTTGACATGACATTAAACTACTTTTACTTTATCAAGTCTAGCAAAACCTTAAAAAACCCATAGGATTCATAAATTACTTGTGTTTTTAGATTTCTAAACTATCGAAAATTTTAACAAAGAGATTTATATTCTTACATGTGGTAAAGTTCTTTAGTTGTGGCTCCTTTCTAGATCTATTCTTTCTAGAATAGAAGAGAACTAACTACCGTGTAAAGATGCCATATATATGTATATATATATAGTCAACATGCTAGTACAGCATTTCTGCTAGAGCATAATATATGTGTGAAAATGCATTCTGCAAAGTCATGCCCACCAAAATTACAGGGCCATGGGAAACTAGGGTTGAGGAAGACCGTTCAAAATCTGTGCACCTTTAAAGCCACAATGCTAACTAAATAATAATTGTTAACTTAGTAGATAATGTAAACAGCCTGGGTAGGCATCTCAGAGTGCTGCTTCAGAGGATATTAAAGCTGCACAAAAACCGTAGAGTGGGAGCCAACGCAGAAGGAAGTCAACTGGAGGTTTGAGCCAGTGGGGCTTCCTTTAAGCAAGGCACAGGAGGAAGCGAAACTCCCACAATCAGAGTCATGCAAGGCAGGGGTGAAGAGCACCCCAGTGTAGCAGCCAAGCTAGGGTCTTTTTTCTCTCTTGCCAAAGCATAGACGTCTACTCCCATGCCGTTGGCCTCCTTTGCCTAGGAAAAAGCACATATTCACCAACCAAACTTCCATCCATCTTTCCCCCGCTCACCAACCCTGTATGAGCTATTTGGCGTTAGAGGAGCACGTCACGGTGAAGAGCTGTTATGCAGACGGTGTCAGGTTTGGACGTAGCTGTTTAATAACACTCTCATTCCCGCAACATTGTCCGGCTTTTGTTCTCTTAACTTGTTTGGCTTAATCATTGCCTTATGGTGAACCAGAGAAGTCACTCTCCCTCTTGAGAAAGGAGATCCTCACTCTCTTAGGACCTTTTGAGGCTGCTATTCCATAACTAAACCCTTCTCCTTTGTGGATCCTTCTAGATCACAGTGGGCAGTGTAAAATTTACCCCAGAATATTCTGAGATGAGTTAGAATAGAACATTAATTAAATTGTTGAATACAGGGTTGTGCCATGGAACATTGAACGTTCACTTCCTACCCCATTTCCTACCCCAGATTATGCCCAGCAACATTGTCCAAAATAGCTGTTTTCTAACAAGTTCTTCAGAGATTCTGCAATGAGATCAAATGACAGGATTAACATATTTCAATGACAAAATTCCAATAACACAGAGATACCTCGAATTTGAATGTTAACTCTTTCCATTATCAAATGTTTGTAGAGAAATTAAATTCAAAAAACAAAATCCTAAAGAAATTAAAATCCAGAATTTTTAAGTCGACACAGAAGTGAATTCCAAAAATCAAATAATCTTAACTTTGTGAGTGAAGATCCAATAAAAGTTCAATCTCCTCAAGTTAAAATTGAAAGAAGTTAAAGTCCTTCCTAATTTTTATTCTTCCCAGTGTCAGCCCGATGGCTTCTGGCTCCTGGAGTGGGTATCATCCCTCAGGACCTCAGAAGTTGAATTGGGTCTACCCCAACTTTCTCACGTGCCCTGCTTCCAACTGAACTGAAAGATGATCCCCACATCAGCTCTCACCCAGCACGTCCGGGACAGAGCCAATCCCCGATTTCTAATATGGTCATTCCAAGTGAAATGATGTTTCCAGGACCCTGTGTTTGGCGTGATGCAGACTGTGTGACTATTGCCAAGACTATGACAGAGACTAAGTGAAGGAAGGCAGAGAAGAGAAAACATTCTTTGTGTCAGTCTTTCCAAGATGCCAGTCAATCTGTGCTGTTGAGACGAGTCTGTGACCTGTGACATAACTCATCGGGAAGCAATCTCCCATCAAGGCATTAGTTATAGCATTATGCATTTATAATATCTTGAGGGAAAAATTGACCAGTGCACACTGTCTCCTCTCTCAGAGAGGCTGCATGAGGTGTTGGTTAAGTACTCTGATTTTGGAGCCAGAGTTCAAATTCCAGTTATGTCGCTTCTTGTGTGACCTTGGACAGGTTATTTAGTTTTCTGAGAGTCAGTTTCCTCATCTGTAAAATAGGAATTATAGTATTTACCTTAATAGGTTGTTGTAAGGATTAAGCAAGATACATGTAAAGTCCCTAGAACAAGTGCATAATACTTGGTAAACATTATATTGCATTATCATCATTACTGCTGTTAATATTACTATTACATTCTCAAAAAGGGTGCCGAGAGTGTTGCACTCTTGCGACGTTGGGAAATTTACATTGGTGGCAGTCCCAGCCATAAAAACTTGTCGAGGTACTGTTCTTTGCCTTTGTAAAGTACTCCAAACGTCTTATGTTCTTTTCCCTCTGAGTGTCATGTTTCTGGATCCCGTGCTGAACTGAGTTTGGGCTCTGTCTGGTGGTATACTATCCACCTTGTCCTGGCAGCAGTATTTTCAATGCTGGGTCACAGTGGCTGCTGTAACAGCCTCT